TTTGTTGCCCTGTGGCTGCTGGGAGCAGGTAGCTCCTCTCTGGAAAAGTGGCAGTTTCGGTTTGGATACATCCAAACGACCAAATATAGGATTCCTGACTACTGCTTTCCCATGTCTCCCTGCACTGCTTCCCACGCCAGCCTCTCTGTAGGCACCTCAGTCTGTGCCTCCCTCCCTGCACCAAAGCCTCAGGTGAGTAGTTGCAAATGAAAACTCATATGCTCTGGGTTTAGTAAAAAACAAATTGCGGCTTTCTCTCCAACCGGCTCCAGTCTGCCAGACTCCACAGTGGCCAGTAGGTCTGCCACCTTTCACAGATGTATGTTACGTGGGCTGCAGGTCTTGGCTCCGGTGTCGAGCCTGGGTTCTGGGCCTCTGTCTTCAGAGGGAACAGACCCTCCTGTGGCCCAGAACTCCCTCCTCTCTGGGCCTGCTGCCCCTGGGAGCTGGGTCAGCTCCTCTCCTGACCTGGCCCTTCCTACCAGTTTCCAGGTGCTTTCTGTCCTTCTTTGATGTACGTCTCTTCCTTAGCTGGACCTCAGTTGGTAATTCCAGGTGAATGTTCTCCAATTTAGTTGTATTTCCAGTCTGGCCCTTAGATAAGGTGCAGGATACCTTGCCTATTTGGCTGCTATTTGGCTGCCATTTTCCCCTCTGAGATTTTAATTCTTAAATAAAACTTTGTGGACATGTAATTTACACATCATTCAATTGATTAATTTAAAATGTACATTTCAATAGTTCATACTGTATTCACAGAATTGTGCTACCACCATGGTGATCATATGAAGAGCATTTTCTGCCCCAGTGAAACCTTTATCCTTTACAAGGAACTCCCTAATGTCTTCCTCCCTAAACCCTATCTGTCCATTAATCTGGTTTGTGTCTCCATAGAAGTAGAGGATTTCTTGTAAACAGAGTAATGTAATATGTGTCCTTTTGTGATGGGCTTCTTTTACTTAGCGTAATAATTTAAAGATTCTTTCATATTACAGCATGCATCCTTTTTACTGCCAGATAATATTTCATAATACAGACACACCACATGCATTAGTTGATAGACATCGCCGCTCCCAATTTTGGCCACTATGAATAATGTTTTTTTAATATTCATGTGCCAGTTATGAGTGAACAA